ATTTCCTTTTTTCTTTTATATCATTCTTTCTCTTCATTTTTCTCTTATTTGCTTTTTTTTCGTTGCCCAACAAAGAAGTTATATTGAAAAACATAATTTAATATGTGAATATAATTAGAAATGATTAAAAATTAAAAACAAGATGTTTGTAAATGATATAATAAATAAAATGAAAGAATAAATAAAATGGCAAATACGAAAGAAAAAAGATTATGTATAAAGAATATAAAGAAGAATAGATAATGAATATGTTGAATAATGAAAATATAAATAAAGAAGAAGAAAAGTTACACAAAAGAATATATGTTTATCTTAGAAAATCAAAGAACAAATATATACTTATCAAAAATATAACAATTATATGAAATGAAAATAGAAGTATAGAATTATGAATAAAATGAACATGTATTGTATATTTCAAGAAAAAAAATCAAGAGAAAAGAACAAATGATAAAAGTATTAACAATATCATTATAATAAGAATAAAGTGATTAATTAATAAAGAGTCAAGAATATTATTAGAATGGTTTTGAATAAAGATGTAATGTTAAAATTGTAACAAATAGTTAACAAAAACATAAAATATTTAATAAAATAATATAGTAATCATTATAGTCAATATATAAGTAAAGATTAAGTGTAAGAAATAATTTCAGATGAGAGTGAAAGATAGGATATAATCACACCTGAACAACAGTAGAAGGGTATTGTTTTGAAATATATTAATTTATTTCTTATTTATTTCTATTTATGACAATAAGGTTTGTTTCTATTGGACCTATTGTTAAAATACTTTGACAATGAAATGAATAAAATAATACAATACTGAAGTACAAATGAATTCTGTTATAAAGAAAATAAAAAAGTTATTATGAAAAAATATTTGTTACATGTTATAATTTAATGACGATATAACTTAAATATATTTGATTTAACAAATCAAAATAAATTTACCACAACTACATATAAAAAATTATTCAAATTAAAGTTTATTAAATTGTATTATAAGTACTAAATTTATACAACCACTAAATAAACAAAAAGAAAAGTCAAGAAATGCGATAAAAGAAATAACAACCAATAAAGTAATGTCTTCTTCGCTCTTAATTAATAAACAAATGAAACAAAATCAACAAATAACAGTTATACAAAATTTGTTCGAAAAACCAACTCAAAAATATAATTCTTTAATTATTAAGAACAGAATTGAGAAGTAATTTGTTTTTGTTTTGATTTATTAATATCTTCTCTATCTTTGTACATTTTTTAAAGAGTTGTCATTTAAATACTTATACCAGCTATAAAGTCTTTCATTTAATTCAAAATTATTTCATTTAATTATAGTTATTTTGCATATATTAGTTTAGTAATGATAATACGACCTTAATTATTTTCTCCATTATAAATAAATTCATTCAAAACAATTTCTCTATAAAAAACATCATCAAAAACAAAAAAAGAATGGAAGAAGGATATAATGAAAAAGTCCAAAAAATAAAAGAAGAACCCTTCTAGAATACGTGGACCAACGCAATCAAAGAGAAGAAATAAAAAGGGGAATAAACTGTTTTTAAACATTGATAATAAAATGTTACCAACTCTTCCAGAATACAAAGCTCTTGAAGCAAAATATGAACAAATGAAAACGTTTGTTATGAAAGAAGCATTTAATAAAGACCCAGAAAGATTTAAGAAGTTTTCAATTCAATTTGAAGACATTTTTGTAGATTATTCAAAGAACCTTATTGATGAAGAAACAATGAAACTTTTAATAAAATTATGTGAAGCAGTTCATTTAAAAGAAAAAATTGAAGCAGAATTTACAGGAGTAAAAATTAATAATACAGAAAAAAGAGCAGTTCTTCATACAGCACTTAGAAATAGAAGTAATAATCCAGTAGTTGTTGATGGAAAAGATGTTATGCCAGGTATTAATGCAGTTCTTAAGAAAATGGGAAAATTTGCAGAAGGAGTAAGAAATGGAAATATTAAAGGATATACAGGTAAAGAATTTACAGATATTGTTAATATTGGAATTGGAGGAAGTGACCTTGGACCAGTTATGGTTACAGAAGCACTTAAATATTATCAACATAAAAGAATAACACTTCATTATGTATCAAATGTTGATGGAACACATATGGTAGAAGCTTTAAAGAAATGTAATCCTGAAACAACACTTTTTGTTATTTGTTCAAAAACATTTACAACAGCTGAAACATTAATGAATGCACATTCAGCACGTAAATGGTTTATAGAAAAAACAGGAAATGAAGAAGCTATTTCAAAACATTTTGTAGCAGTTTCAACAAATGCAACAGAAGTATCTAAGTTTGGTATTAATACAGATAATATGTTTGAATTTTGGGATTGGGTTGGAGGAAGATATTCACTTTGGAGTGCTATTGGATTAACTATTATGATTTCTATTGGAGAACAAGGATTTATTGATCTTCTTTCAGGAGCACATGCTATGGATAAACATTTTAGAAATACAGATTTTGCAAATAATATTCCAGTTATACTTGCTGTTCTTGGAATATGGTATAATAATTTATATCAAGCACAATCACATGCCATTCTTCCATATGATCAATATCTTCATAGATTTGCTGCTTATTTCCAACAAGGAGATATGGAAAGTAATGGTAAAAGAATTACTAAAGATGGAGAAGTAGTTAATTATACTACTGGTCCAATTATTTGGGGAGAACCAGGAACTAATGGACAACATGCATTTTATCAACTTCTTCATCAAGGAACTAAATTAATTCCAGCTGATTTTATTATTCCAGCAAATAGTTTAAATCCAATTGGAAAACATCATACAGTTCTTTTAGCTAATTTTATTGCACAAACAGAAGCATTAATGATGGGTAAAAATGAAGAACAAGTAATTAATGAATTAAAAGCAACAGGGATGTCAGATGAACGAATTAAAGAACTTCTTCCACATAAATTATTCCCAGGAAATAGACCAACTAATTCTATTGTTTTTAAGAAAATGACACCATATGTACTTGGATCATTAATTGCTATGTATGAACATAAAATTTTTGTTCAAGGATGTATTTGGAATGTTAATTCATTTGATCAATGGGGAGTTGAACTTGGAAAACAACTTGCTAAAGCAGTTGAAAAAGATCTTGAAGCAGAAAATCTTATTAATAAACATGATGGATCTACGAGTGGACTTATTAATCTTATTAAAGATATGAGAAAGAATTAATTGAATACAAAATTTATTTTAAAAAGAATAAAAAGAAAAGAATTTAATTAAAATTTTAAGAAATAAGAAAAAAAAACAAAATAAACCCTTTTTCAAAAAATAAAAGAGTTATAAACAAATTAAATAAAATTTAATTAAATGTCATCTTCTAAGAGTAATAATAATGATAATCAAGAAAAAAGTATTAAAACATTACAACCAATTGAATTAAGAAAAAAAACAAGGTATGAAGGAATTGTTGATTCAGTAGAATTTGGTGGAAAAGGAATTGTAAATTTTCAAGGAAGAAGAATTATATTAGATAATGTTATTCCAGGACAAAAAGTTTCATTTTGTATTTGTAAAATAAGAAAAGGAAAATGTCCAGGAGGAAATGTTGAAGTAATTGAAAAATCACCATTTGAAGATATAGAAGATATTTGTAAACATAATAAAGAATGTGGAGGATGTTTATATCAAAGTATGGGATATCAACAACAATTAGAAATGAAAAAGAAACAAGTATTAAATATGATAAATAAAGAAATAAAAGAATATCAATTTGATGGAATTAAAGCAAGTCCAATAAATATTGGATATAGAAATAGAATGGATTATACATTTGGAGATGGATATATTGGAGGACCATTAGAATGTGGATTACATAAAATGTATCATTTTAATGATGTAGTAACAACATTTGATTGTAGAATAGTTGATAAAGATTTTAATAAACTTCTTTTATTTACAAGAGATTATTTTAGAATAAAAAATATACCACATTATAATAAAATTAAACATACAGGATATTTAAGAAATTTATTAATTAGAAAAGCAAAAAAAACAAATGAAATTATGTATTGTTTAATTACATCATCTCAACTTACTATTGATTTAAATGAATTAAAAAATAAATTATTAGAACTTCCTTTAATGGGAAATCTTGTTAGTATTATTCATTGTATTTTTGATGATATAACAGATATTGTTGGATATAATAAAATGGAAATATTATATGGAAATGATTATATTACTGAAGAATTACTTGGATTACATTTTAAAATTACACCAATGTCTTTCTTCCAAACAAATTCACTTGGTGCAGAAGTATTATATCAAACAGTAAGAGAATATATAACTACAACAAAATGTGATATTATTTTTGATTTATATTGTGGAACTGGAACTATTACTCAACTTCTTTCTCCAATTTGTAAAAAAATTATTGGTGTTGAATTAAATCCTGATGCAATACATGCAGCAAAATTAAATGCTGAATTAAATAAATTAACTAATTGTGAATTTAGAACTGCTGATGTTAATAATGAATTAGATCAACTTCAAGAAAATAGACCAGAATTAATTGTTCTTGATCCACCAAGAACAGGTATTCATCCTACTGCTTTATCAAAAATTATTAAATATGGTGCTCAAACAATTATTTATGTATCTTGTATGCCAACAACATTAGTTAGAGATTTAATTATATTAGAACAAAATGGATATAAAGTTAAAAATATTACTTTAGTAGATATGTTTCCAAATACACCACATATAGAAACAGTATGTTTATTAAAAAAAATAAACATAATTAATTGAATTAATTTTTTATTTTATCTTATTAATTATATATATTATATATAAAATTCTTTTAAAAAAGAATAATTCAAAATATATTAAACAAATAATATCTCAAATGGACCTTAACTCAAAATATGTCCTTAACATTTTATTTATAACAATTTTATAAAAAAAAAAAAAAAAGAGAAATAAAAACAAAACTTATATTTAATTATTCTTATGAGTTGTTCTCATAATTGTTCAAATTGTTCTTTAAAAGGAAATTGTAACCAACAACCAAATCCATCTACTTGTTCACATAATTGTGATGAATGTCCATCAAAAAGTTCATGTGCATCAAATACTTCATCTCAAGGAGGATGTTCACATAATTGTGATAGTTGTCCATCAAAAGGAAAATGTGGAGGAGGAAATAATGGACCAGATATAGAACTTGAAGAAATAATTGAAAAATTAAAAGGAATTAAACATAAATATGTAATATTATCAGGAAAAGGAGGAGTTGGAAAAAGTACATTTGCTACTCAATTTTCATGGGTTCTTTCAGAAGATAAACAAGTAGGATTATGTGATTATGATATTTGTGGACCTTCAATTCCACAAATGTTTGGACAAATTGGAGTTAATGTTACTAGTGGAATGACAGGATTACAACCAATTTATATTACAGAAAATTTATGTACAATGAGTATTGGATATCTTGTAACAACTCAAACTGCTGTTGTATGGAAAGGACCAAAAAAAAATTCATTAATAAGACAATTTATTCATGACGTTGATTGGGGAGAACTTGATTATTTAATTATTGACACACCACCAGGAACATCTGATGAACATTTAACTATAGTAAATATTTTAAATAAATGTAATGTTGATGGTGCTATTATTATTACTACACCACAAGATGTTTCATTAATTGATGTTAGAAAAGAAATTAATTTTTGTAAAAAAATAGGATTACCAATTATTGGAGTAGTAGAAAATATGAGTGGTTTTATTTGTCCATGTTGTCATAAAGAAAGTAGTATTTTCCCACCAACTCATGGAGGAGCACAACAAATGTGTAAAGAAATGGAAGTTAAATTTTTAGGAAAAATTCCATTAGATCCAATAATTGCACATTCATGTGATATTGGATCACCGTATTTCCTTGAACATCCAGATTCAGAAGCAACAAAGAATTTCAAAGGAATATATAAGGAAATAATAACAAAACTTTAAGTTAAAGAAATAATAAATCAAAATTTTTAATAATTTAAAAAATGTTTTTAAAAAAATAAAATAAAAAAAACCCTAAAAAAAAAAAAGAAAAAGAAATAAAATAACTAAGAAATAATAAGAGAATAATGCCTAAAGCTAAAAAAGTAACAAAAGAAAAAGTTAAACGAGTTAAAGGAGAAAAAAATACAAAGAAATCAAAAAGTCTTCAAAAAGAAGGAATTGATAATTTAGCAATTGTTAATGAAGAAGGAGAAATTAAATATAATACAAGATCAAAAGATAGTGCTATTGTTTCAGTTGGAAAACAAGGAGAAGAAAGTAAAGCATGGCCAGATTATGTATTTTTAAAAGGAACATCATTTTCAAGTAGTAATAAAGATAAAGTAAAAGATATTAAAATAGAAAATTTTACATTACAAGTACCAGGAAAAGTTCTTCTTAATAATTCATCATTAACAATGGGATTTGGATCAAAATATGGATTAGTTGGAAAAAATGGAATTGGGAAATCAGTATTAATGTGTGCTATTTCAGGAAGAGAAAGTGGTACACCATTTGCTAATATTCCAGCAAATATTAGAATTTTACATGTTCAACAAGAAGTTCCAGGAAATGAATTAACACCATTAGAAACAGTATTACAAGCAGATATTGAAAGATTATGGTTAATTAATGAAGAAAAAAGATTATTAACAGAAAAAGATAAAAAAATAGAAAATAAAGAAAATGAAGAAGAAGAAGATATTGAACCACCATATGATTTAAATGATATTTATGAAAGAATGAAAGAAATTGAAGCAAGTAAAGCAGAACCAAGAGCATTAAAAATTTTAAAAGGTCTTGGATTTGCAGAAGATGAAATGAAAAGTAAAACAACTAAAGAATATTCAGGAGGATGGAGAATGAGAATTTCATTAGCTACAGCATTATTTTTACAACCAGATTTATTAATTTTAGATGAACCAACAAATCATCTTGATTTAAATGCAGTTATTTGGTTAGAACATTATTTAATGAATTGGAAAAAATCATTATTACTTGTTTCACATGATACATCATTTTTAAATAATGTATGTGATCATATTGTTCATTTTACTAATCAAACATTAACAACATATAGAGGAGATTATGGTAGTTTCTTAAAAGCATTAGAAATGAAAAAAAATTCAGATGAAAAGAAAAAAAGAATTGAAAAGGCAGAACAACAAAAAGCAAAGAAAAAAGGAGAAGAAAAGAAAAAAGTAAAAGTTCAATTAACAAAACAAGAAAAAGCAAGTAAAGAATTAGAAGGAAAAGCACCAGTATTTGAATTCCCAGATCCAGGAGATTTTGATACATGTGCTGTTCAATTTGATGAAGTCTCATTTAAATATGAAGGAGCAAAACAACCAATTTTTAGAGATTTACAATTTGGAATTTATCTTAAAAGTAGAATTGGATTAGTTGGACCAAATGGAACAGGTAAATCTACATTAATGAAATTAATTGATGGAGAATTAAAAGAAACAACAGGATTTATTACTCGGGATAGACAATTAAGAATTGGTAGATTCCATCAACATCATGTTGATCAATTACCTATGAATATTTCTTCTATTGAATATATGCAAAAAACATTCCCATCAGCTCAAATTCAAGAAATTAGACAATTTCTTGGAAGATTTGGATTAAAAGGAGATACACCAAAACAACAAATTCAAACTTTATCAGGTGGTCAAAAAAGTAGATTAGTTTTTGCTGAAATTTGTTGGAAAAAACCACATTTATTACTTCTTGATGAACCTACAAATCATCTTGATGCAGATTCAATTGAATCATTAATTGAAGGATTATCTACTTTTGGAGGTGGATTAGTATTAATTTCACATCATCAACATATGATTGAATCTGCATGTGAAGAAATCTGGGTTGTTAAAGGAAATGGTACTGTAGAACGTTTTGATGGAGATTTTAATGATTATAAGAATATGTTATTGAAAGATATGGATCTTGATGATGAAGATAATTAATAACTAAAATTTTTATTAATCAAATAAATTAATCTTGATATTCTTTATTTTGAAAATCATAAGGAATTAAACCTAAAATAATTGGTAAATGTTTTGGAAGATGAAGTGCTTCATGCCAATTTTCTGATAATGATTTATAATATGGTAATGAAATAAAAATACTTTTTTTCTGAATACATTGTCCTAAATAAACTACAAGTTCCATCATTGTTAAATTAAGTGAAAAACAAATACTATTTAATATTACTTGAAAAATCATTACCATTGTAATATTAAAAAAGAATAATGATAATAATAATGTTGTCCAAAATGGAAAATTATCATTTGAATAATACATTTTCCAAATATACCATAAATGAGTATCACAAATTAACATTCCTCTAAAACATCCTACCATAAATAAAAAGAAATATCTTGCATTATGATATCCAATACATGCACTCATCCATGAACAATGATGATCATATTTTGTTATACATTTTTTACAAAATCCACAATGATGTGTTCTTGCTGCTCTTGGTTTATTACATACACTACATATTTCTTCAGTATCATATAATAAATTTCTTTCATATCCTAAATCTATTTTTTTAGGTTTAGTAAAATGACATTTAAAGAATGACCAAAATATTTGATAATATGTATAATGTAATTCAAAATAAAACCAAAATATTTTTTCACCCCATGACCATTTGAAATAAAAATATTTCATAATAAAATATACACATAATATATATGTTATTACTAATAAACATGGTACCATTATCCATATATATTTTACTATTATTAATAATTTTTTTGCAATAATTCCTGGTAATCCTTGTATTCTACCTAATGTATCTTCAACATTTTCCATATCAGCAATTTTAGTATCTTGAATACTAATACTTGGTTGAATATTTTGTTGTTCTTCACTCATTTTATTTATTATTTCCTTTTCTTAGTTTTCTTAATTTTTTTTTTTTTTATTTTATTTTTTTTTTTTATAGTTTCGGTTTTCTTTTCATCTAGTAATTTATAACGAGTTCATAATGAGTCAGAAACCTTCTGTTCGATTCACTATTGGTTCACGTAAAATGGCTATAGCTAAGAAAGAGCCAGAAAATACTGCAATGCCTATTGTTGAAACAATGCTTAAACATCAAATGATTTCTAATATTAGAAATAAAAATAATAATGAGAGTCAACCAAATGAAATTACAAATTTAATGAAATCTGTTGATGAAATGAAGAAGATTGATGTCAGAGAGACAAATAGAAAAGTAGATATGATAGAAAATATTTTATTGTCAATAGAAAAGGAGTGTTTAAAAAATAGTACTGATTTAAAAAGTATTAAAGAGTCAGTAAATCATCAACACATTGTATTAGAACAATTTCTTGTTTAATATTATTTGTTTTTCTTTTCTTTGGAGTTTCTAAATAGAAGATAAACACACTAATAATACTTAATTTAAATAAAAAGAGTATTACACTTAGTAATAAATGTAATTCATTATACTAAATATTAATGAATAATCATTAAACAGTAGAAACAAATTGAATTTATTTTCTTTCTAAAATATTCATTTTCTTTATTTCTCATAAAAAAAAAAACTTAAAAATAAAAAAAGAAAGATATGAAAATAGATCAATACATTAGTTATTTAAAAGAATGGAGTCATCTATCAAATATTACTACATTGTTTGATAGTACAACAGACGAATTAACTGCAAGAAATGTTTATAGTATAATCAGTGGAAAAACAAATATTTATTTTATTGTTGAAGATAGTTTTGGAAATATATTTGGATCATATCACAAGTATATTCCACAACAAGATGAGATGGTAGGATATGAAAAAGACCCAAATCATTTTGTTTTTACTTTACATAACCCACATAATATTAAACCTTCAAAATATGAACCAAATAAAAATAATAATGATATTATTCACACCTATTATAATTACGATATTAATAATGTTCTTAATATTCAACATGCTTATGGAATAACAAGTAATTCTAAAGTATTTATATATGAATCTATTATTAATTATTATATTAATATTCCACATAATGATCCACGGTTATTTACTAATACAGTTAATTGTTTTATTAATATGACAAGACTTATAATCATTGAAATGAATTAAATATCTTTTTTTTTGATTATATCATGGTTTTGTTTTTAATAAATTCTCTCAAAAACTACAATAATTATATACCAAATAAAAATTCAATTCTGCTTATAACATAAAGAAAAGAAGAAGAGCCATGAAAGAAATGATTGTTGCTGGTGCAAAATCAGTTCCATCACTTAATTTAATTTGAATTTTTGATTTTTCATTTCCTTGAAGCATAATTTTAACTGGAGTTTTTGCATCAATATTTGATAATTCAAAGAATCCATTTTCAGCTCCATTAGTATGGAAACAAGCATTACCAGAACATGTTTCAGTTAAATTAGTTGTATAAAATAATGTTGGAATAACTTTACCTTTCATTGCAAAGTAAATATTCTTATCTCCTTCAGCTGGTGTGTAAATAACAAAATTTAATACTTTTTTATCTGATTGACTTCCTCCATATTCAAATTCAGTTGAAAATCTGAAATCTTTGTTTGGAAGAACAACATATGGTTCTTTATTATAATTTTTAATTGTTTCACTTGATTGTTCTTTTCCACATGTTGTTGAAATAATTGTATCTTGTGAAAAACAAAATGTATCAGTTTTACATTTAACATAAACAGAAATATAATATTCTTCATATGTTTTTTCAAATGAAATTTTAAGTGCTCCACTAGAACTACTTGTTTGTTCTTTACAATAGGTGGTTCCTTGTGGATTAATAAAATTAGTTCCAATTTCATCATAATTATTTGGAAGTTCATCTTTTTTACCAATACAAACAGCAAGACGATTTAATAAATTGTTTGCAACAAAATATTCGAAAGATAATTCCACCATTCCAATAACTGTTTCATCACTGGAATCAACAGTGGTCCATAACTCTTTTTGTCTTGTAGCATTAAAAATAAAATAATTTGGAACTCCTTCTGCCTGTAAACTAGTTTCAAGAACAGTGTGGTCATATAACTTACCTGCACTTTGTATATCAAAATCAGCAGAAACAAATGCAACTAATAAGAAGAAAAGCATTTTTATTTTTTTAAGATCTTTTAATATCTTTTTAAATTATGATTTGTCTTTTTCAACTCATTTCTTTTCCTCATTCTTATAGAAAGGGTTTGTTTGAAAGAATAAACTATCATAATATCTGTTCTATTACTTGTATCCATTCAATCCAATCTCAAAAAAAAAAACTTATTTTTACTTTCAAAACTTGAAATATTAAAATAATATTTAATATTTAATTTTTTTTTTTATTTTTGTGATTGTTTTAAGAATAGAAAAAAGTTATGATTTGTAGAATTTTTCAAAAAAAAAAAAAAAGAAATAACACAAATAAATAACACAAATAACAAAAATATAAAGAAAACCCTAAAAAAAAAAAGAAAAGAACTTTATAAGCATTTACAGGATGTCTAAACAACTCTTCCTCAATAGATGTAAAGAAGTAGAAGAATATCAAAAGGCAGGTCATAATCCATGGCCACATAAATTTAATGTTAGTATTACAGTTCCAGAATTTATTGCTAAATATTCTGGACTTGAAAAATCACAAGTTAGTGATGATATTGTTAGTGTTGCAGGAAGGGTTCTTTCAAAGAGATCATCATCAGCTGCTCTTATGTTTATTGATTTACATGATTCACAAACAAAATTACAAATTATGTTAAATAAATCAGCATATGAAAATAAAGAAGAATTTAGTTCATTAACTAAAATGATTTATAGAGGAGATATTTGTGGATTTATTGGACATCCAACACGTACTAAAACAGGAGAACTTTCACTTATTCCAACAACAGGAATGATTCTTTCACCATGTCTTCATATGTTACCATCAATGCATTATGGATTAGGAGATCAAGAAACAAGATTTAGAAAGAGATATCTTGATTTAATTGTTAATCCCGAAACTGTTAAAAACTTTGTTTTAAGAACTAAAGTTGTTAAAGCTGTAAGAAAATATCTTGATGATAAAGGATTTCTTGAAGTTGAAACACCAATTTTAAATACAATTCCAGGAGGAGCTACTGCTAGACCATTTATTACACATCATAATCAACTTGATATTCAAATGTATATGAGAATTGCACCAGAATTATATTTAAAAGAATTAATTGTTGGAGGAATTAATAGAGTTTATGAAATAGGAAGATTATTTAGAAATGAAGGTATTGATCAAACACATAATCCAGAATTTACTACATGTGAATTTTATATGGCATATGCTGATTATAATGATATTATGAAAATGACAGAAGAACTTCTTGGAAATATAGTTAAAGATATTACAGGAGGATCAACTAAATTAGAAATTAAAGATAGATTAATGGATATTAATAATGAAGAAGATATCAAAATGTTAGAAAAATTCTTTAAAGAACCAATTCCAAGACCATTTAATTCAGTAGAATGTAGTAAAGTTATTGAAAAACATTGTACAGAATTAAATTATTATTATGATGGAAATAATGAAAAAGCAATGAAAAAATTATTTGCAGATTTTGTAACAGAAAAGAAAATGGTACTTGATTTTACTGCACCATTTAAAAGAATTTCATATGTTCATGCTCTTGAAGAGAAATTTGGAGAAAAAATTCCAAGACCACTTGATGGACCAGAAGCACTTGCTTTTCTTAAGAAACAAGCTATTAAATTTAATGCTATTTGTTCAGAACCACAAACTACTGCACGTGTTATGGATAAATTATTTGGTGATTTGATTGAAAATGATCTTGTTCAACCAACATTTGTTTGTGACCAACCACAATTAATGAGTCCACTTGCTAAATATCATAGAAGTGAACCAGAATTAACTGAACGATTTGAATTATTTATTCTTAAGAGAGAAATTGCTAATGCATATACAGAATTAAATAATCCAATTGTTCAAAGATCTAATTTTGAACAACAAGCAAAAGATAAAGCTGCTGGAGATGATGAAGCACAACTTGTTGATGAAGTATTCCTTGATGCAATTGAACATGCCTTCCCACCAACAGGAGGATGGGGACTTGGAATTGATAGATTATCTATGCTTCTTGCTGATGTGGATAATATTAAAGAAGTTATTTTATTCCCAACTATGAGACCAGAAGATGAATCAGAAAAGAAAGCACGTGAAGCAAAAGAAGATGCTATGATTACACAAGAACTTGCTGCTAGTGAAGAAAAAGGAAAGAAAGTTGTAAAACCAAAAGTTAATAAACAACAACCAGTTAAAGAAGTTCTTGATGGATTTCAATTAGAAATTAAAGTTGGTAAAATTATTGAAGCTGGACCACATCCAAATAGTGAACATCTTCTTGCTCTTAAAGTTGATATTGGAGAAACACAACCAAGAAGTGTTGTTGCTGGACTTGCTGAACATTATAAACCAGAAGAATTATTAAATCAAAAAGCTACTTTTGTATGTAATTTGAAACCATCTAAATTAAGAGGAATTCCATCAGAAGCTATGATTCTTGCTGCTACTTCACTTGATGGTACTAAAGTTAAATTCTGTCATCCAAGTGCTGATGCTACTATTGGAGCACAAGTTATTCCAAAAGAAGGTAAAGTTACTATTTCTGCTAAGAAGATTTCAATTGATGTTGTTGGAAAGATGAATCTTGCATTAAAAGGAGGATTAGTTAGAACTAATGATGTTCCACTTATTGTTAAAGATACTGAACTTACAGTCACTGTTGATGAAGTTATTGATGGAACCGTTAGATAAGTTTTAAAATGACCTTTTTTTTCTTAAATTATTTTTTTTATTTTATTCATAAATTAAAAAAAATATTTAAAGATAATTTTTCATTTTAAAGTTTAATTTGTTTATTTTTCATTATTTAATTTATTTTGTTTTTAACTTATTTACTTAATTATCAAAATGAATAATTATTTTATTAAAGATTAAAATATTTAATAAGAAATTGATAAGATTAATTGAAATTATTAATTGCAAGAGTCAACACAATGAAATTAGAAAGATAATAAAAGAAGTTGAATAGAATAAGTTATAATCAAAAGAGATTTTTGTTCAAATAATGATAAGACTTAAATTCGATGAATTTAATTAAAATGAAAAAGAATAAAGATGATAAAACAAAAATGAACTCAAAAACAAAAACTCTAAAAGTAAATGATAATATTGATTATTTTAATTATTTTAAAAAATACAAATGCAAGTTGGGATGAAATAGATTGGACACAAATTGAAGTTAATGAAGAAAAATCAATTGAATTATTATTAAATGAGAAATCGAATGATTATTGTAATGAAACTGAAGTAATAGGAAGATATTTAAATATTAGTACAAAATTTAATAATATCAAAGTTAGTATAAGTTATTCAGGATATTCATTTATTCATATTTTTGAAGAAAGAGGAGAGAGTCATAAATGTTATGAACAAAAATATTCAGAAAAAGGAAGTATTAAAGTAATTATTAATACTAAGAAAGGATATGGATATATAAGAATAGGAACTGATCAAAGTAATAGAACAACAAAATATATTATGAATATTAATATAATGGAATATAATTATTTTAATGAAATAATATTTATATCATTGTTATACAGTATTGCACTTATATTATTATTAATTGTTACTTTAATATTAATTGGATTTTATTTCTATTCTAATAGAAAATTTAAAAGAAATCAAGATTCTCAACAACTTGAAGAACAAAATGTTGTTTATCAACATTCTTCTTTAGAAAATTCAGAAATAATAAATTCTAATATTTAATTTGTCATTTTAGATTGATTCATTTGGTTTATAAATTCATCAAATAATAATGGCCCTAAAATAAGTAAATATAATAAATAATATTTGTAAATAAAACAAACAATAATTCTTTGTTTCATAATATTCATTATATTCTAATATATAAGAAGCTGCAGTACATAAACATACCCATTGATCTTTATTCAATTTAAATCCTTTTATTTGAAGAAATTGTTCAAAATTATTAAATAATGGATATTTATTATAATAAATCATTAATAATTGATGAAGTGTTTCTCCTGAAAGTATTCTTTTTTCATTAAATAAATCAAATATCCATCTTTGAAATATTGTAAATAATTTAATATCATTTTCAATATATTCAATTGAGTTAATGATAAGATTTAATACATCTTGATTTGTTTGAATTGTATTTGAAATAATGAGTTGTTTAATAGTATTATTTGGTGAAAAAGGTGTATATTTTAATAAATAAATGAAAGACAAACCTTTTTTCTATTTAATAAATATTAAAAAAAACATTCAAAGAATAAAAATAACAAACTGAAAATAGATTAAATCCGTAAAATGAACAAAGTATATTAATATCTTCGTTTGATAAACTTTCTTTATTTAAATATTTTAATAAAAATAATTCTTTTTCAGGAAATTCTTTATAGATTGTTGGAGATATAATCTAAAAATTTAAATAATATTATTATATTAAACTATCACTTACAAACAGTAAATTCATTTGGTTTTCGTTTTATTGGTTGATATTTTTCTTTGTTCATTTTCCATTCATCAATAATTGTTTTCATCATTTCTATTTTTAAGTTCATTTCATTTTTATAAAAACAAAAAAAAATATTTATATATATATAACAAAATTAAAAATAAAAAATTCAAAAACAAAAAATCAGAAGAATTGTTCATACGTCAGTTGTACGTCAATTGATGCAACGTCACCATAACGTATTAAAATGAAGGAATTAATGAATAATGTCATTTAGAAAAGATGGGAAAAGATTACTATCAAATTTTAGGAGTTGATAAAAATTGTAGTGATGCTGAACTTAAGAAAGCTTATAAGAAATTAGCATTAAAATGGCATCCTGATAGAAACATTAATAATCAACAAGAAGCTAGTGAAAAATTTAAAGAAATTGCAGAAGCATATTCTGTACTTTCAGATCCTAAAAAGAAAGAAATATATGATAGATATGGAGAAGAAGGATTAAAGAATGGTATGGGTGGTGCAGGAGGATTCCCAGGAGGATTTTCATTTGGAAATGTTGATCCAATGGATATATTTGAACAATTTTTTGGAGGAAGAAAAAGAGGAGGAATGCCAAAAGGATTTTCATTTAATGTTGGAGGAATGCCAGGAGGAATGCATTCGTTTAGTATGGGAGATGAAGATGAATATGGATATGGATATAATCAAGCTAAACGACCAGTAAAAGCAGATGATGTTATTGCAAATTTAAATTTAACATTAGAAGAATTATATAAAGGATGTACAAAAACAAGAAATATTACAAAAAATATTACAACAAGTAATGGAATTACAAATAAAAAGACAAATACTGTTGTAATTAATGTTATGCCAGGATGGAAAGATGGAACTAAATTAAGATATGAAGGATATGGAGATGAAGAACCAGGTGTTATTCCAGCAGATATTGTATTTGTAGTTAAAACAAAAGAACATCCATTATTTAAACGTGAAGGAGATGATTTACATTGTACAATAAATATTACATTACTTCAAGCATTAACAGGATGTGAAATAGAAATTCCACATTTAGATGGAACAACAATTAAAAGAAAATTTGATAAAATTCTTACAAATAATTCAACAGAAACAATTTATGGAAAAGGAATGCCAATTAGAAAATTCCCAGGACAATATGGTAATTTGATTGTTCATTTTAATATTCAAAATCCAACATATTTAAGTCAAGAACAAAAAGATGAATTAAAGAAAGTATTGTCTAATATAAATAATTGGGCATAAAATAATTAAATAAAATAAATTGATTGTTTATTAGAAATTATTAATTAATTAATTATTAAAAGTATTATTTAATGTATTGTCTCATTTCAAGAATAAGTATATAATCAACAGAAAATGTATTTAAATAAATATTTCCAGTAAAAATATTTCCACCAATACCAATAGTATCTTTATAATGAGAAGGAAAAAAATAATCAATATATGAATCTTTTCCTATTGATCCCCATCCATTAATTTTATATAAACAAGTATCAGTAATACAAAATACTTTTTCTTTTATTATTCTTTTATATTTTGTTGGTGGAATATTAAATATATTTCTAATTGTAAATACAAAATGATTAAGATCAAAACACCATTCATTCATTCCAATTGTTCTATCATGATATGAACCAAATACATTATTTCCTGAACCAATTAATATTAATATATTCTTTTTATTAAGAAGAATTTGTTTTACTGAATTAATTTCTAATTTACCATCATATAATATTCTACCAATAGATCTTTCTGTCCATTTACTTAAAGTATGAGTATATTCATCAATACCATTTGATGGTAATAATTCTCTTAATGGATGAAATTTTTTATTATTTATTTCTTCTACTTGAGTTCTAATTCTTTCTATTGATTGATTTACTTGATGATGTAATTTTTTAAATAATATAATACATTCAGACATTTGACTCATTGTTTCTTCTATTTGATCAAGTTGTTGTTGAAGATTATTAACATTCATTTCTTTTTTTTTTTTTTAATAGTTTAATTTTTTTTTTTTCATTTTAAAATAGAAATAATAAAAATAAACAAAAAAATACTTAATTCATATCTTTTAATAAAGTATTAAGTTCATTTAATTTATCTGGTTCATTATCTTCTCCTGCTAACATTAAAGTCATTACTTGAAGTTTTTCATTAATACTAATATTACTTTGAGTTGATTTAAATTTTTTATTTAAACCAACAACTTTTCTAATCATTGTACGTTTAATTTCAGAAGGAGGATTAAGAATTTGTTTAAGTTGTGGGTCTTCTTTATCAATATCACATTGAGGAATAAAATCAGTTTTATCTTGTTCAGCACTAACAATAGATTTTAATGTATAATTTGTAAATTGTAAGAAATCAAAACAAGAAGGAAAATCTAATGGAACAGTCATATTAACAATACCATCCCATTTCTTTTTTGCAGACAAAAATTTAATTTTAATTGTTCTTTTATGATCAATTGCAGTTCTAATAATATCATATAATATTGGAATAGGAATAAGTGAACCATAATCATCAAATCTAATTTCAATAGTTTTTTCTTTTGATAAAAATGATGCTTTATCTTCTTGATTTTTTTTTATTGATTGTCCAGTCCATCCAAGTTCTTTTCCTTTTTTTATTTTTGCTTTTTCTTCTTTTTCTTTTTCTAATTCTTTTCTTTTACGTTCTTCTTCTAAATATCTTTCTGTTGTTTTAGGATCTTCTATTCCTTCTACAATACGTCTAATTCTTCTAATAAATTTATCAGCATCAATTACTTTAGCAGGATCTTCACTACTTTTTTTTTTAAGAATATTTAATTTTGAAAGAATATAATTTTGATTATCAATTCTTTGTTGATCTAATTCTATTTGTTCTTTTGAAATAGCTAATCCTTCCATAGAATTAGATCTATCTAATTGTTTTACTTTCATTTGTCTAATATTTTTTGCTGCATTTAATGCATCACTTCGTTGTGACATTGTAAGTGTTCTATTTTTTCTATCATCAAATTGAGAAAAATCAAAATCATCTCCATCATCAAACATTATTTCATTAATATTATTTGAATTCTCTGCAAACGCCTGAACTTTTTCTTCCATTGTAAATGGTTTTGAATCAAGATAACAGTCCATACCATATTGAAGTGAAGGAATAACTTTAGCCATTTCAATTTTATAATTAGCCATTTCAGCTGTTGGATTTCCTTCAAGAAATATTTGTTCAATATTAAACATTTTATTAAAAACTTGAAATGTATTTGGTTGTCTATCTATTAAATTATTTTTTACACTTAATACTCTTAAATTATATAACCTTTTTAATCCATTTAAATTTTTAATTCTATTATTATCTAATGTAATCACTGATAAATTTCTAACTTGACGACATGATACTACACGAATTTCATTATAATCTGCATGTAATACATCTAATGGTCTTTCACCAATTCTTTTAATTTTTTTAATATGATTATGAGAAATATCTAATAATCTTAATTCCGGAAAATTTTCTTTTGTAAATACTTCTTCTAATTCTGTTAATTGACATTTTTGAAGTTTTAATATCTTTAAATTGCTCCATACTTTTTTTTCTTCTCCATTTAATCCCATTGTTTTTGCTACACTTTCTACAAATACTCCACAAAATGATAATTTAATTAAATTATTATGCATATCTGAATGATTTAAATCAACTCCACATAATACATTCTTTACTCCTAAATAATCTAATTCACATTTATTTGTAAATTCTAATGGAATAGGTGCTTCTACATCATCAGCATCAACATCTTCTTCTTCATTTACTTCTTCTTCATTATAAATTTTAACTGCATGTAATCCTTCTAACATATTTCTTACTTTTTCAATATCTCCATATTCATTTTGTGACATTCCATTTAACATCATTGCTAATGCTGGTGATAATCTAACTTTATTTTTTCCATTTAATGTTCTAAGTGAATATTCAATAACATCTTCAAAGTGCTGTTTTTTATTTCTTTCCATTTAATAAGATCTTTATTTAATTTTCTTTTTAAACTTGTTTTTCTTTTTTTTTTTTCTTTTTTATTTTTTTATCAAATATTCATTATTCTTATTGTAGTATTTTAAATTATTCTTTCTTTTTTACTCTTTGATTTTTATTTGTTTGTTGTAGAACTAACTTAATTCATTTAAATGAAACTACTTCTCTTCTCCTTATTACTATGTTTATCTTTTGCTCATCACAATCATCATAATCATCATCATAATCATCACCATGAACATTATCATGTTGAAGAAAATTATCCCAATGAAATGATAAAAGATAAAAGTCATGAATATGATTTTGGTCTTTATATTAATTGTACTGAAATGACTAGTTGTATTGGTTGTGGACTTGCTTTAAATCAATGTTATTGGAATATTAAAACACATCAATGTATTAATCTTCCAGAAAATACTTATCCACAAGATATTTATTCTGTTTGTCCTGCTGAGGAAATTGCTCTCTTTGAACAACAATTGATTATTACTATTTTTATTATTTCTATAATATTCTTATTATGTTGTGTTTGTTGTGTTAAATGTTGTTGTCCATCTACTAGAAATAATAGAAAAATAAGAAGAGTTCAAAGACATACTATTCCTTATCAAACAGTAGTCCAACAACCTGTTCAAATTCCAATGACAAATTATTATATTCCACCAACATCAGGAACATATGTTCAACCTGTTTATGGACTTGGTCAGTCATTTTAAATCAATTGACTTTAAACAAATGAAATAAATATTTCATTCAATTAAAAGTTTAATGAATTTTAATTATTTTTTGGTTTATTTTTCAAAATTATTTATTAAGTAATATTCCTCCACTATATTCTACACTTCTTCCATAAAATTCAGAATCAAATGATGATAATAATCGTTCTATTGGTTGGTGTTTATTAGTAAAACTTCCATAAACAAAATTTCCATCATTTGGTTCTATGACTTTAGGATATTCTTGAATTTCTTCAATTTGAACTTCATACTCAACCATATTAATTAAATATTTTATAGTTCTTTTTATAGAAGAAGAATAAAAGAAATTGTTAAAATAAAAAGAATACAATTTGAATTAATGGTTGTTTGGTGAACGTTCTCTTGGTGAATAACAATCATCATTTTCATATCTATCACGATGGAAATCACGTGGACTAATAGAACGACTTCTTCGTGGAGAATAATAAGATGGTCTATAACGTTCTCTTGAACGACTACGTTCTGTTCTACGACGATATAGTCTATCTCTAGAATAATAATTAGATTCATATCTATCATATTCTACATGGCGTGGATTTCTTTCTCGTGTTCTGTTGAAATATGAACCTAAATATCTTCCTGGTGTTTTATCTCGTGCTTCTTCTCTTCTTGCAAAATCAACTGAAATACGAAATCCATCTACTTCTGTACCATTTAATTGTTCAACAGCACGTTTTGCATCTTCAGCTTTATCATATGTAACAAATCCAAATCTTAATGAACGTTGAGAAATAGGTTCTCGAATAATAACGCATTTTGTTACAGTTCCAATTTCAGAAAATACTTTTTGAAGTGAATTATCTGTTGTATGAAGTGATAATTTATAAATGTGAACTGTTTTTCGTTCATTTATATTACCTTCATTTGGTTGATTGGATATATTTGTTGTATTTTCACTTGACATTGGACTGTTTTTTTTTTTTTAGTTATTTATTTTTTATTTTTTATTTTTTTTTTAATTAAAACTTAAAAATTTTTAATTATTTCTTATTTATAAATTTTCATATAACTCTAACATAATTTGATGGAAAATACCCTGTTTTACCTTTATTTTCACCATACCACCATTCTCCATCTTCTTTATATACTTTGATAATATCTCCTTCATTTAATTGTAATTCATTTTCTTCATTTGGTTCAAAATAATATAAACTTTGTACCATTTTATATTGTTTTGATTTTGTTCCAATAGTAGGAATAATTTTATGTTGTTCTTCAGAGAATTGGAAGTTTGGTGGGATTTCTTTCATGATTTCTTCAATTTGTTTCCATTCTTTAGATACTGATTTTAAATATTTTGTGTAACAAACTAACAAACTACTCATAATTGGTCTAGCAATTGTCATTCGTTCTTCTTCTAGACATTCAGTTTCATTAATAATATCACTTCGTAATTTAGAATATCTTTCTTTTTCTGCATCAAATTTGATTCTATATTCATTAATTTTTCCTTCCTTTCCTGTTTTTTTCATTAAACTTTCAAGTTTTTCTTTATGTCTATCCATATCAATTCTTGTTTTATGACAATCATCAATTCTTCTTTGTAAATCATCATAATATTCAATATGTTGTCTCAATGGATAAATTAAATTTTGTTCTATTTCTTCAAATCCTGTTTTTTCAATTGAATTTAATATATCTACTATTTTAGAATCATTAACCATAATAGCAGTTTGTTTTAAAGTATCAATTGGTGTAAATGCTTGACTTGGAAGAATTTCTGCACAATGATGAATTTGTTTGTATAGTTTTTTATTCTGTATCACTTTTTCTTTAGCTGTTTTTAAATCACTATCATGTGTTTTTTCTTTGACACCCAAATGAGTTTTTAATTGGAACATTTTTCTGTTGAACTTCGTGCCAACTTTTTCACTCATACTTATTTTCTTATTAATTCAATTTTAATTTATTATAGAGAAAGATTTAATCTGGAGATATGATAATTAGATAATAAGAAAAGAATACTGAAAAAAAAATACTATAAAAATAATTAGATTTAAGGAGTTTCAGTTAGAATTGTTATTTTTTCTTTTAATCTTCTTTTAATCTTTTCATTCTTTTTATTTTCTTCTTGAATCTTTTTGAGTGATGATTGAAGTTGAATAATTTGATCCTTTAATTGACGAATTTCACTCTCCAATGAATCTATAGATTCTTGTAATACTGCTTTTTCATTTTTTAATTTTTTGACTTGCTTTGTTTTTTTATTTAAACTACCTTCAATTTGTTGATAATTTTCTTTAATTTCTTTAATTTCATTTCTTAAATGATCTACAATAATTTCATTTTCATTTATCTTTTCTGTTGTTGGGATTTCTGTTTTTGTTTTGAGTTTATTGATAATTGTTTGGTAATCAAATTCTCGAGATAATAATTCTAAATTCTTTACTCGTAATTGGTCATTTTCATTTTGTAGAAGTTTAATTTTCTTTTCACTCATTCTCCATCTCTCTCCCATTTCTTCTGATTCACTCATTTCTTGTTTATTGATTTTAATTTGTGCTATTTGGGTTTGGAGTTCTTTTAATTGACTTTGATTCTGTTTTCTTGTTTGAATAAGTTCAGTACATTTGCATTGATATTGATATAATTGTTGAATTAATTGTTGTTGTTTTTCCATCATCTGTTTTTTCTCTATTAAAAACTGATTTTTTAACTGTATTATTTGTGTTTCATATTTTTCTTTCTCTTGTTTTGATATTAATTCAAATTTCATTGTGTTTATCTGCTCAGAAATTTCTTTTGTTTCTTCATTTGTCAACTTATCTTTCTTTCTCATCATTTCTATTGCTTCATCTAATTTCTTTTCTATCAAAACAATTCTTTCTTTCAATTCTTTCTCTTTCTTATGAACAGACTCTTTAGAACAATGTTTTAATTTACACTCTTCAATCTTCTTAAAGTACAACTCTTTGTAATTGATTTCCATCTAAAATTTATTAGTTAGATTCTTTCATTATCCATTCTATTTTTAGATTATATCTTAGTGTAAAGTAAACTTTAAGGAGAATATGCTTTGTCATTCCGTAGTGTTAGTTCTTTGTTTATTCAAACATGTATTAGATGTTATTCCAATTAATTGTATTTAATATACATAATACTTCTACATATAAGAATTATCATTCTAGAGATTATCATTATGTGTTAAATAACTCAACAGATTTTCAAAAATAACAATAAATTGTAGAGTTTTATATTGTGTATTAAATAATTTAATACTGATGATTGATATTGGATTTGTTTTGGGTTATTGATTATTGAATATCGTAGTACCTTTTAAATAGTTAATTTAAAATGATAAGTATAATATGAGATTATCATATCCATTTGATGTATATTGTATTTACTATATTAACACTGACTACACTTTTCTTTCTATCTATAATTTATGATAAAATTCAATTTTATTTAGAATAAATAAAATATTTCATATTATTTTTATTATTATTTTATCAAAAAAAACAAAATTAAATTAGTTTATTTTATTATTATATTACCTTTTTTTATTATTATTAATTATTTATATTTCTTCTTTTTTTGTTTATATAGATTTTCTACTATTATTAATTTCAAAGTTTTTTTATAAAATTAAAATCAATAAAGTTAAATTAATTACATTAATTTATAAAATCAAAAACAAAACATGAATAATATTTTTTTATCAAGAAAGTATTCAACAAAGAATTATTCTTTTCAAAATTAATTATATTTTTACTTTGTTTTTTGAGTTTTCCTTTTGGCTGGAACTTAAAAATTACTAATAATCTTTTCTTTATTAAATGAGCTCAACTCTACCTCTTCCTGATACAACTAACTCTCAACCCACTTATTCAAATATTCAAATAAACGGACAAACCCAACCAGAAGGGGGAATAATTAATAATTCAAAGCCATCTTATTATTATTCGAATGTTACAACACAACCCCTGAACTATGTCACTTATCAACAACCTCAATATTACCAACAACCTCAATATTATCAACAACCCCCATTATCCTTTCCACCTTATAACCAAACATTTACTACTTCAGAACCAAAATACGAACAACAAGTTTCTATTGAACCATTCTCTTCACCTGATTTTGAACAACGTTGGTGGCGATTAACATTAATATTTTTCCTTTTAGGATTCTGCTGCTTTCCTTTCTGGATTCCTTCTTTTGTGCTTTCTCGAAAATCAAGTCAAAGAACTACACGAGTGATAGGGGCAGTCTCTGGTGTATTATTAATAACGATGTGTTTTTTTTCGTTGACTATAGTAATTCCACTTTCAGTTTAATTTAATACTCTTTAAATTCAATTTTCTTTGTTTGTATATTGATTAAATAAAGAGAATATAAATACTTAGAATCAAGATTATTGTTGAATGCTATGTTCATATGAACAAAGTTTCAAATGAATAAGAAAGTTGTTAAAAAATTTAATTTAATTCATTAAATATATTTGTCAAAATAAGTATGAGAAAATATTTTCTTATAAAAATATCAGTCATAGGGAAACTTAGACACAACTATATAAGAAATTCTGAATAAAAACCTATTTGGCTACTACCAGATTAATTCATAGTTAACCAAAAGTATTTATTTATAAATGGGAAACAAAACATAAAGTATTCCACAGTAACTCATTCATCAAGAGTTTTGTTTGCTTATTTAATAAGAAGTATGTTCACCCTCATAATAAAAAAAGATTTGTACAAATTGTTAAAAATAACAGACAAAAAAGTGTAATCAAGATTAGAATAAGATTTTACAGAAGTATAAAATATAAATTGCTGAACAAACAAATAGCATGATTGTAACACATGAAACAAATAACTTCTAAAAGAATTTAGGAATAGGTTCAATTAGTTGAGAAATTGAAAATAAATAGTATTGATTCAAGAATAAAAAATAATTAGAATAAAAACACTAATGGTAATCAAAAATAAGAAGTGAGTAAAATGAGAAGGATAGGAATAATATTAATGGAGTTAATTAATTGTCATTAGATTTATTTTCTATTTTTTTTGCCCAACACTAACTAATCCCACTCTGAGTTGTAAGGGTGATTACTCATCCATCTATCATTTAACTGTTCTTCATTTCTGAGAAATGTGAAATTTTATTCTTCATTCTTTTATTTAAATTGAATTAATATTTTTTTTTCAAACTTCCTCATCTTAATTATTTATTATTTGAATATTGTCTCATCTTTATTTTAGTGTGCACTAAAACTCTATTCCTTACTTTCTTAGTCTATGAAGATGTCTCATTGTACTATATTATTATGCTTAATTTTATTTAGTATCAACAACAAGTGGATACATTTTCTTTGATAATACCCAATATGTTCAATTACAACCATTTATTAACAAATATGCCTGCACCATAACAAGTAAATAATACCACCCCTAATAATCATTTGTACTAATCATTAATAAATAATAACCTAGTAATTCTTGAGCGTGGAGTTATCTCAATAAGGACAACACCATAACCATATTGTAACTGGTGGTTCAAGGCATGAATTTATTTTATCGTTTGTGTGGTGTCTCTGGCTTGTAACCTTTGAACCGTTTAATTCCAATTTTAAAAAATAAAAAAGAAAATCAAATGTCTTAAAAATATTTGAAATTCAAATAAAATAAAAGAAGAAAATATAATAATAAATAATAAAGAAAGAATTTCATTAGGATATAATGAAATAATGATAACATCAAAGTATTTTAATGATATCAATGCTTTTATTAATTTAGAAATTAGAGTTAAAAGATTTCAAGGAATATGGAACGATTTCATTTAACCAATTCCTTTAAATGGATACTCAAGAAGATTATTTCCTAATATTGAAACATTTCATGTTTATAATAAAAACAATGATATTTGATGATGGAAGAACAACTAAAGAAATAATATGGTATAAAGTATATTATTCAATATATTTAAAATAAAAAGAAGAATGAAATATATATTATATATAAACATATATGATATACGCAATATGATAGAAATACATATGGAAATACAATACCACTAGAAGTTAAATCACTTTGAAATTTTTTTTTAATTATTGTGCTACAATAAAAATTAACTAATATACTACCTCTATTAGTGAATTATGATATTATTGTTTTAATGAATGTTCATCATTAAAATCAATTAATATACAATCACCTATTAGTGCATTTGAAATTGATTGTTTTAATAACTTATATTTTCAGCATCTATTAATATTCTCACAACAACTCGTGTAATAGGATATAATTTTTTTTATAATTGTAAATTATTAACAACAACTAACAGACCTTCAACAATCAATAAAATAGAAAATAAATTATTTGTCATTAATATTTATCAATGCATGAACAATGATTACATTATTTGATAGAGATGTTTTTTATGGATGTGGATATATAGAAGAGTTAAAAATGATGACAAAATACAAAAATTTATTTTTAAAAACATGAATAAAGTTATTAAACAACAACAAATGAAATCCAATGTAATTTAAATTAGAAAAGAATTGAAATAATCATATTTGAATATAACTAATTAACATTTTACAGAGAGTCAAAAAAGAGATTAAACATCAAAATTTAATATTATTATTCTACATTATAAATGAAAGGTATACTTTTATTGAATTAGCAAGATAAATAAAAAGATGATAATGAAATGATTTAAATAATATTAATAAATAGATTTGAAATAATTAAAAAAAGTTACTTTGATAATGTTATAAGTATATTTTATTATTATAAAATATCATTTTATTTTTATTTTTTAGAATATTTTAATTTGATTCAATGTTCTTAATTAACATTAAATTAAAAAATATTATTTATATTCATTATTTCATCTTTTATATTTTCATTACTTCATTTTATCATTACTTTATTCATTATTTTATCTATCCATTGTTTAATTATTATATTATCAT